CACCCTGTTCGTGTTACAGACGAGCTGCGAGAGCGCGTCCACCGAGGGCCGAGACGGCGAAATGTACTTCGTGGTGAGGCCGTCGACCAGACAACGGCGCCTGGTCCCAGTGCCGGCGGCCGTTTGGCGCGGCGGGTTCCTGGCCGGCTACGAACCTGGGCTGGACGCAACGGCCGTTTGCCTGGGCCCGGATTCAGCCGTGTCCACCATACTGGTGCTGCCGGGCCAACAGGGCCAGGTGGCTCCAGGCGACGGGCTCGCCCGGTTGGAACAGCGACTGATCGAGACATCGTACCGGCGTGGCGGCTGGTCTCGCGTGCTCCGCAGCCTGTTGCCCCGGCCAGGGCTCGAGCTGCAAGTTCCGCGGTTCTCGCACCGATCCGTGCTGAACGCCACGGCCGCCCTGCAGAAGATGGGCCTTCGGGACGTGTTCAGCGACCAGAAGGCCGACCTGCGCGGCGTCAACGGGCTGTACGACCTGTACCTGTCTGACATGCTACAGGTGAACACGTTCAGCACGTGCGGCGAAGACACCATCGGCGCCCGGCATCACGTAGAAACGTACCCGGCGTCGCCGCAGAGGATGGGCCGTGCGGGTCGCGACGGTGGCCGCGAAAGCGTCCAGGATAGCGGCAACGACGACGACGGCCACAAGAGTGGTGACGAGGGCGTACACAATAGCAGTCACGACGGTGGTCGCCGGAAGCGCAATGCCGACGACCTTCCGCTGCACAGCCCGTACTCGCATATGCCGCTTAACCTGCGGCCCAGACAGGCGCGGCTACCGGATGTGCCGAGGCTCCGGTTCGACAGGCCGTTCCTTTACCTGGTCCGGCACAACCCCACTGGCATGATCATCTACCTAGGCAGGTTTAACCCGAGATTGTTGCCGTGAACGGTTATAATGATTGCATAATAATATTAACTAAATCATTAGTATTATTATTATTATTATTATTATTATTATTGATATCGAACACAAAACATAATAATATTCCAATATATATAACACTATTACACTATTGCCAAACGATAATCATTTTAAAGTGAGTTTCTATTTTTTTTTAATATAAAATTGACCCCAGGTCATGCCCCACTCTGGACAGTAAAACTCGCGGCGTTCCGTTTTTGATACGAACAATTCACTAATTTACACAAGAATTGTGTTTGGCAATAGGATTTTTGGAACTTATCCGGTCGATTTCACTGACATTTAACAATAAAAATATATAAAAACTATCCAATGATATTTTTTAAATAATTTTATGATCTTGGTAAAATCGACATACTAAACATATGTTTAAGTTTAATATAATTCAGAATAAATTCTGATAAATATGCATTAGTTTTACATTTTATATACATATATATTTTTTTATACGTACAATTTATTATTATTATTATTTATAGGATATTTATCAGTTTATTATTATTTTAATAATTTTACTAAAATATGCGTTACTCTACAACTGTGACACGCTTTGTGATATATATTTTGGCAATATAAAATATAATATTTTATACACGATGATTATTATATTATTTAATATAAGATTTTTTATACGTAAAATAAGATTGTTCCTAGTTTTTTTAAGGAATTATGTCTAAATACTTTTTTATATACACAGAATAAGTTAATCCATGATTCTGTTTTTGTAATTTTTTATTATAAATCATTTATAATAAATTAACTGCAATACAATAATCTATAGTTGTATTTATTTTAGTTTTGGTCAAAATTATAACTATTTGATTATTATTTTTTACAACAATAAAGAATTATACTGATTATGTCTACCTTTCTAATGTATTTAATTTAACATTTTGTTTTTAATGATGTTAATTTTGTAAGATTTTACCCAATGAACTATGTATTATTTTAATTCCATGAATAGTATTATTACAACGATGTGTGTTTTTCGAGTATTTGTACACGATTTATAACAGAAAAAATAGTTAGATTTTCAACTTTGAGAGTGGTTTCTGGTAGAAAATTGGATCTAGTACTTATATATTGATATCAATACTTGTAAGTCTTGAAGGTAGTATTATAATATAATAATAAGTATATCATATAACAATAAAAATATCGAAAATACATATTCAACATTTGTGTATATAATAGTGTTTGAAGTCAGAATGTTGACAAAATTCGTCAAAATCACTGAAATTTACAAATTATTTTGTAGTCAAAGATTTAAAATATGTTCAATGTTTATAGCTTAAAAATCGAATACAAGGTTCTTCATAAGTTTAGTTATTTGTACTGGAACCAACAAATCTAAAAAATAAATAAAGATATTTTAATTTATAATGTGTGGAATTTCAAACACAGCATGAAAAATAATGTATAAACTTTGTCCACAGAGAGAACCCATCGCAGATACTCGAAAATGTATTTTTTCTGAGCATCCCACGTGACGCCCTGCCAATGAAACCGGTATGGATGGAATGCACAAAATTCTCGTTTGACAGAGTGTAGACGATTCTACTTGTTTGCGGTGGATAATAACTGCCTAAAGTATTGAAGTTATGTTTATTGCAACGTAGTAAACAGTAAACAATCACTACACGTGCGCAACAGGTGCAATTAGCAATTATTTAGTCAAACGCACTTTGCAACTTAGATAATAGATAATAGACCATTAAACATGTACAGAAAATATGTTGTTAAATTTTTGTTTGAATTGAAGTTTGAACTCTTCTGAGCTGAATAGGCAGTTGATTCAGTCCAAATTGTATAATTTATGACACTTTAATAATGCATTTGTAAAAACCAGGGAACTCACTCTGCTGTATAGTTGTTCTTCGTAAGCCCCGTTGTTGAGTAGGTCACTATAATCGATGTGCACAGTATTTGAATTCAATGATAAAGTAATAATCATCGTTTATGAAAATACGATTATGAATGAATGAGATGGATGTATTAGCATCTATAATCTTTGCAAAAAAATATTTCATAATGCATAGAAATAACTTACAATTCATAAATCAATATCGAACAACAATGGTATGAACAAGATCTAATCGTATATTATTACGATCTTATTACGATAATATTGAAGGGGTAGGTGCAAGAACAAAAAAAATCCGTTTTCATCAAACATTTAATTTAGATAATATTTTTTTAAAAATTACGACTATATTTTTTGCAAGAGCGAGACGGATTCCACAATTGGTATAAGAAATGCATATAATGTACTTGGATCTGTCAGGTTTTATATTTTTTAGTTAAAAAAACAGATAGCTGCAAGAGAATATGAAAAAAAACATTGCTCCAAAAAAAAATTTTTTTCTGAAAATTTTTTGAAAAATGGAACAGTCTGATTTTTGCATGGGCTCCTTTAATTTAATTTTATAATTCATACAGATACTGGATTTTTTCCAAGTTTACTTCAATGTTTATCGAATTTAAAAAAAAACTCAAATCTATTCAAGGGAAAATCTTATTTTGCATTTAAATAAAAATGTCTTTAAAAATTGAACTTCAAACGAGATTATGCTATAACAAATTAGCCATATACTACTGATGTATTTTTAATATTTATGTGCTATTAGAACCACTTACAAAGAATCTTTTATTAAATTGCTAATGTTGTGGACTCAGATTGAACATACAAGGTAAATGGTAAAAGAATATTTATTTCAAAATGTATTGATTACCTACACGATGTTCTATCAAATGAGCTCCCGTTAGAAATTCACGAAGCACGAACAACTATTTTAATGCATAAATAAAGATTGAGGGATTTTTATTAACGGCTAATGAACAACACTCGTCTATGGTACGAACTTTTAGCACCCTGTTAAATCTTAATGTTTATGATACATTACAATATTCTTAATTAGTATTAGGATAAACCAAATGTGTGTACAATAATCTACCTTATCACAACAAGGATTATGTTAATGACAAAACTCAGATCAATGTACTTTGATAAAATTAAAAGTTACTATCAATATTAGGCATCAGTTGGACACTCGTAACAATTCGTATATGTACCTAAGCATATAGTCACAACCGTAACGACAACTGTACAGATTTAAATATAAACATAAACTTGCGCATGTTAAGTGTTTATCATATAAACAAAGATAACCTACAGGTTAAAGACGTCATTTATAGAACAGTCGCTGATTACAATTTTTATGTTTAATTAATAATAGAACCAGGAATATATAGTAGAAATAGCCAACTAAGGAAACGCACGTTCTCCGATCGTGATTTTATCATGGAGTTCTGTTTAATGTGATGATCCAATCTTTCGATTGAAAATCAAGAAAATAATTTACATTATGTACTAGTTAGTTAGTACTCAAAAGATTTCTTAGATTACTTGGTAACTCTCGGAAACTAGTATGAGTTATACGCTATCGGTTTTCTTAATAGTTTCTATAGTTATAAGAAAAAAACTTTAAAACAACATCTAAAAAACATAGGTGACATTCGATGTAATATACTCGAATATAATTCAACTGGTTTTGATAATTTTCTTAAAATTCAAAAATAATTTTCGTACCATAGTACAACTGGAAAATTAACATTAAATATTTATTCAAGTAGGTTAGAAAGTACTTATTGTAAAAACTTAAAATTAAAAAATAAAATAAAATCGTAAATTATTAAAATATATCAAAATATGTGACTTAACGTACTGAATTTGAAAGTATTTGAAAAAATGTCTTATGTGTATGTGGTTATGACTTATTTCTTTTTTATGTATGTATTTACCTTTGGAAGCTGTTAATATAATATGAAAGGTGCTTTAATCTTCTACTTTGAAGCAGATATTTTTTTTCTTAGTACAGACTTGAATTGTTCGAATTGTTCATTTTTATACAATTAATATCTAGACATAATAATTTTCAGAATATCGAAACAAAACACAAACGCAATTTGGACAATTCTTGAGTTATAATTCATAAAAAAAATCAAGTTTATAATTATTAATTTTATCTATTTTATAGCCTCATATTGACGATTAATACTCAAATAAAAAAAAAGCGAACAAAGGGCCAGGGAGATGTAGAGAAATGCAGAGAAATGCTAAGAGGTGCTGGAATATGCACTCAACAGTCCAAATATATTATGAAAAACTATAAATTTTTTTATGAAATGCCTGCAGTAATATGTGTTACTTTGTTTTTGAGGTAAACCTTAAAACTAAAATATAATATGTAATATTGATTACAAAAAATAAAAATAAAGTTATTTTGATATTATAACACCACCAATCCCCATATGGTGTATACATTATGTTTCTATAACTTTTTAATAGGTACTCCGTCGTTATAATTTGTATTATATTAAACTATTATGATTTAAGTACGAATAATTATTATTAATAACTAGGTATTGGATTTTTTTGATTGGATACAAAGTTAGTAATTACTAATTACTAAACCAAAATTCGCAATTTGTGTCCCAGAAATTCATTCACAATAATATTATTATTGTTAAGTGTTATAATAATGTTATGACTGTAAGGGTTTGGTACTTGTTGCATTTGCATATTTTTAAATTTAATAATGACAGCAGAATAGGCTAAGATACAAATTTGTTTTAAGTCATAATGGATTGAAAAATAAAAATTGTAATTGCATATTTTCGCATATTTTTTCGTTTTCTGAGCAAAAACGCATATTCGACACATTTTTGCAATTGAATTGTTATTCATTGCATATTTCCGCAATTTTCATTTTGTGTTAAGTTCATTTATTTTAGAGGTTAACATCATTTTTATTTTTACTATCATGCGTCGGTCAATATACCTAATCTTAGAACGAGTCAGGACAGGGCTTAGAAAATATCCATCAGGAAATACCTAATTGTTTCTCCATATACTATCAGTGATCGACTAATCGTTTAGCTTGTCAAAAAAATGAATAATTAAAAAATATTGTCTAAATTAAAATGAATAAATCAAATTTTTTAACTGTCATCAAAAAAATATTCAGTTGCATATTATTACGGTTATTTTAGGCTAATTGTGTGTGCATATATTTCCTACAATTTGTGTTGAGTCCCGAACCCTAGTTATGACTGATAACCGGTCAATACGTGAAATTCTGTGATGTGCAATAAAACAGCTGTATAAGACAAGTATCGTCTGCTACAATGTCTATGGACTAATAATGCTATAAAATATCATAAATCATCAAGTCATTAGTCATGTGCCATTATCAATTGAAAGTTCGGAGAACAGATCAAATAGCCACGAATTTGACGACAGCATGCTGGATATCTACATCGTGCTTGTAAGTTGAAAGTTGACATTATTATAGTGTTTTCTATCTAATATTACCTACACACAACTTGCTGTCCAAACCCACAATGGGTGATATCAATTAATTATATTAATCACCTATTGCTATTAACATAAGTAACTATTATATTGTATATACACCCAACCTATCTACGTAGTATATATAGCGATTCTTTGCAAGTAAATATTTTGACGGCTCTTATGAACCACGCTTGCTGACGTGCGTCGTATCACATGTCTCGGTCGTTATCAACCATTCAGGGCCTCGATCATTATGCACGTGACGATAAGATTCTCGTCTGTTATAATATCATCCGTTCCAATCAAAATATTATATACATGTAACAATGTACAGGGTGTGCCTGGAACACCTGACGAATGAAGAAAACTGTAAAAACATTTATTTATATTAAGTGATGAGATTTATTCCTTACGATTTCTTGAAATCTCAATACTTTTGTTGAGTAAAGTTTATCCAATCAAAAAAACACTTAAAATTCAAAAAGTATAAACTTTTTGAAAATATTTATGATGAACATTTTTAAACAAGTATTATAATTAAGATATAAATATTTTTTCGAGAAGTTATTACTTTTCAAATTAACGAGACTCGCTGAAAAAAAATTGAAAAATTAAAAAATCATAAAAATAAAAACCACTTGACTTAGACGAATGTTTATAGAATCAGATGTTCTCTAAAAACCAGATTTACAAATGGGTTATTTTCAAATTTTCAAAAAAAATTTAAATCATATTCAATATTGTTTTGTGTTTTTGGCATATAAAAAATAAAAATGAAATATTGATCAGAATAAAAAACGAATTTCCTTTGTCAGGTCTTTCCGTTACACCCTGTGTAGGTATAATGTATGTACACGTTATTTAACGTTTACATAGAATATTTATATAAATATTGTAATCGATGCACGCACGCGGGTCCTGCATCGCCGGTATACTCTTTATCGCTTATTTACGTACACCCGACGAATATCGCGAAACCAAAGTGCGCGGTGCCTCCGTCAAAAGTCCCGGAACGTTCGTCCAGCGCAGACATGAGACCCGACAGTAGACTCAAACTGAAATCAGAATGCTTCGCCATCAACAGGTTGCAGCTGTTGGAATACGAATATCACACTGCACTCGACGACCTTAAAAAAGTGCGTAAACAATAACATAATATCACATACAATAATAATATAATTCATATTATACTTACACATCATAACGTCGTACGTTCCCATATTTTCGCCTAGCTCACTTATCTGCACACATATGTATGCTACGAGTTTAGTATTATTATAATAATGGAAGGCGTGCTCGACTTCAACAATACACCGTTACCTACGAGTGTTCTTTTCCCTACAAGTTTTATTTATATACCTACCTATAATTGGTTTTACGATAATAATTTTGAAAAAAAAAATACAATTCTTTTTAGGTATATCCCGGCGAAATAGATATCTTGTGTTTTTCGAACTACATAATAATAATATCACAGAATGTTCGTGACCGTTCTTTGATATAATTTACTATGACGTGCTGTATATTATTATATTTTCGGGTGGTCATAAATTATGGTTTGGTTGCAGTGTTTATAGTGATGTGATTGGTTAATATAAGTAAACAAAAAATTATTTTCTTATAGATATATTTTATATTTATACCCAGTAATTTGTCGTAATGGGTGGTTCTCTAATCAAACTGTCAATTTGTAATTTCAAATGTGAATTTGAATGATGGTCGAAAATGTTGAGTGGATTTAGTTCAAATTAAAAAAATACATCAGGTTACAACGCAATTTATGCTCCATTAACGAAACAATAACAAATGTATTTATTTTCTCCATAGAAAACAACTTAAAATCTACTGTACTCGTATTTATACTTACTCAGATCATGGAAAAATTATTTCTGTTTATTTATTTTTGTCCATTCGTACTAATACTGTAAGTTGATGCCAACTACCAGATCGCTATATAATTACCTAGGTATATTAATAAATGTTCATAGTGTACATTTTTTTTTATTAAAATGTGACATATTTCAATACAATTTTTAATTGTAGTTGTATTACTTCTTATAAATAAAATTGGTCTGATACAATTTACCAATTATAGGCATTAGGTAAGAACGGGTGTATAACATAATATACATTTTATATTTAATGTAATATAATTCAGTTTCTATATGTTTTTTTTTTATTATTAACGCTTACTATTCTCAAATTGGCTTTAATATTAAATTTACTTAAAATTGCATAATGCTAATGGAAGTTTCCGTGTTATTGGTTATAAAAGGTTATGAATTAAATGCCATGATTAAAAAAGAATCGTCGGTAGTAATATTAGTGGTGAATTCAATATAGATTGTAATGTATAAAATTCTAAAAATGATTTTAAAAAGTACATAGTGGTGTTTAGAACGCACCTACCATTGTAATTGCATTTAAATATTAATTTAATGTCAAAGTATGTAAGTCATCTATGAACTTATTTTTACAATATAGTTACTGCAACTTCAATTGTACATACATCATTGGAAATATATTGTTTAATATAATGATTCGATGCAAAATATTTATTTAAAAAAATGTATACTAATAAGTAATATTTCTAATAAGTATGCTAATATTTAGTTTTTCATTAAAAATATATTTTTCGACTATTTCTTATAGTTATAATATTTTTAATTATTCTATGAATAATACTTCAATATTTAAGTAAGAAAGGTACTTTTATCTTTCGTAATATTATAGTACTGTGTAAAAAATAAAAATGAAATCGAAAACTGGTTTCTATAAAATCCTCTAATTTAGTAATATCATAATTATTTTTATAATCAACAATACAATACTCATGATATCTAGGTAATATTGTGCTTTTGTATGGTTTTAAATAATATGAATTATTATGTTTTTTAACTTTAAAACGTATCTCACGTTACCTTTCAAAAGACGTTGTACCCGCATGTGTTGTCTTCGTCTTACCAACGCGTAATATATCAAAATGTAAGTCGAGCAGTTCCAAATTTGTGTTGTTATACTTGTTAGCTTAAAACTTTAGAGTGACTTGACTAAATTTAATATATTATCAAACTGAAAGGTAACATTATATGTGTTTTTTTTTGGTAAGTTTAACAATAGGCAAACTCACTGTTACATTGAAAACAAACGAAGTAAAAGGAGAACTGCTGAACTGTCACACTTGTAAGGCCAAGAGACATAGAACATATTCTGGCGAATTGCTAGGAACTGACCAAATTAACCCGAGTGATTTTTTTAAGTATCTATACAATTCAATTAGAATTACTAATAAAGCCACGTAGTAAGAAAACAGTTTTGATCATTACAACATTTTTTCAACAGTCATTATAATGTAATATTTTTGCTGTCGAAATTTCAGATTAAATGTGTACTGACACAATCTGACACGACTACATTTCACAGTGATGTGTATTTTATATTTTTGCAGAAAATATGTAACATTTGAAATACCCTGGTAGCTATAATAATTTTTCAATGGATAAGTACTCGCTTTGGGTGTGATGGATGTCGGAAAATAAAAAAAAATAATGCCTTAAATAAAACATGTGTAAACTATGTATTGTACAACTATTCTAATGTGATCGTTATCAGTGACGTGCTGAGGTAAAACCTGAGGGACAAAAGAGTTTAAAAAATGTATACAATGCATCATCTATTATTTTGTATACGCGTGTCGTTGAAACATCGATTAATATACTATAGACTAAAGTGATTGTGTCTACAGCTGCTGTGTATAATGCTGTTTATATAATATATATTAAATGTTTGTTTTTCGTCAATAATTACGATTACCGATGCCGATTACCGAATGTCTGGCAGCAATATGGACGGTGGAACTCTGGGCGAACTCGTTCGACGACGGAATTAAAATCCTAGTCTACACGCCACGAGCCACAACTATTAGCACAATAATTTATTAATACAATAAGCCTATTATACAGAGAGTTTTGCCATAGAGTTTCGCTACTTTTAAAATTTTGCTTATCACGAAAAATGTTTTAATCAATATGAAATCATTCGATACATTGTGCTATTATTATATTATTTAAATATGTTGCGTATTTTGTTATTTGCACCAAACACATATACAAGAGGGCCATTCGAGTTACCCCCCCCCTAGAGTATGAAATGTTGTACAAAAATATATTTGAATTGTATATTATAACTTTGAATTTGTAATTTGTATTGGTTATCACTTATGCATCATAACTTATGATAATGGTCTTTAACTCTCTATGACCCCCTCTATCTAAAAATGGTTTATTCTTGTGTTAGTGCACTTCATTGGAACTGATATGCCTACATTATAAGTCTTTTTTTAAATCAGTGGTTGTTTTTTTTTTGTATTAATTTTAGGCCATTTGTATTATATTGTTCTTTTGTTAGTTAAGATTGAACACTATGACACATTTTATGATAACTAAACAGACCGTGATAAAAAATCATAAATAAAAACAAAAGATAATTTTGATTGTAATTACTATTTGAAATTGTAAATTTTGTTTTGTATCAATAAAAAAAATCCAAACTAGCATTATTATTATTAAACATACAATATAGGTGCGTGATCGAACAAAACATATTTATTTGTTAAAGAAAAACTATTGTATTTTTTCAATGTCTGTTCATATTTTTCTAAAATGTTAAAAACATAAAAATAATTATTTTATTGAATCCATTATTCAGTATTAAATGTATTGACTTAAAGTTAAAAATGTATAAAAACAGAATAATTGTGTTGTTCTTACTCCCGTAAACAATAACATTTACTTATTTTATTTTAAGAAATTTGTTCTATACAAATACAAAATGTATTTATGTTTTAATAATTTTAGATGAACTTTATACCTATTTTGTGAGTTCTACCCAATAGCAATAAACCCAAATAACATTTTACTGTAAATATGGAAGCAATTAAATTATAAGGAATTTTGGTCATCCTATTCATTTTACTGAAAATAAAAACAAACAAATACAATTTATTCACCATATTATTATCGTTATAATTAATAGAGTTATAAATAAGTAATATTTATTCTTAAATCTATGGTCAATAATTAACTGTATTTCTCTAAGCAATCAAAAATATATGATTACAGTGCGTTTGAAAAGTTATATATGAATCTCAAATTATTGGTTATAGCAGAGATCAGATCATACACGATAACTCTCGTAAAAACTGAAAATAACAATAACCGACAATATTGATAATAATTTGTCTTATAAAAACAATACTATTATAGACTTATAGGTTCATTAGATTAACCTTTGAACATAATACATTTGTTAACATATCATGTGATTTCAAAAACAATCAATACGTTTGATATTACTACAAGAAGTATTTCCAAAACTGTCTGGTAATCGAGTTCCTCCTTTATTTATCATTATCGTTTGAATAAAATATTGTAAGTCTTGAATAAAGTACAATTTGTCATATTGCTTTGAACGGCCATTGATCACCAATAATTTTGGTTTTGGTTTGTTTGATCTATTTTACACAAAATCAACCGTAGGTATTTTCAATTCTTCTAAAATTATGTGAAAACAGTTTTTTTTTTTATTAACTGTTTAAGACATCAAAATAAATAATAATATGCAACTGAACGATTTATTTACACACTCACTTACACGGATTGGTGTACGATAAAAAAATAAATTATTTTATCCTAGTGAATATCGTATTGATTTATTGTATTGATTATCATAACAAAAAAAATAATATGACATATATTTACGGAGCAATTTCTTTGACGCAGGATCAAATATCCTTCAGTATTCTCTCCGACGTCTGCCTGCCGGTGTCGCTACTGATCCTCGTAGTAGTGTGGGGTTACCAATTGAACGCCATGACCATAGACACCGATAGTGGAGACAATCACACGATGTTACTCGTGTATGGCATCGGACTCATTGTGGTCTCGGGCACGGCTTGCGTTTACATAGCCATACGAATGGCAGTCATGCGACCAGAAGTCGAGGTGACCACGTTTCTCCAGGCAGAGGTAGTAGTATGTTATAATATTTTAAAATTAAAGAATTAAAGAAAATGTAGATCTATAGAAAAAATATCATTTTTAGGTGAAATAATTGGTTTTTTTTATTGTTTTACTATCATATTATTACACTAATGGGTCGTTAATACACACATTTTATAGGTAGTTTGATAACCATTATTATGTATTCATATTGTTTTAAACCGATGAATAGTTTGATATTACATCGGTAACGAAATAACGCGGGTTAAAGCTGTGCAGATAATTCTTCTAAAATGATAAATATGCTATGTCGGCAACAGCCAAAAAAAAAAAAAATACAAATTATATTTTGAATTTCATATTAGACCATTCTTATGGCTGAGCTTTTTTATGTGCTAATTGTACTTCCTATATTATGAATCACCAATAATGATGTCTATCAGACTATAGGTGTTATATTATTACATTGACGTTTTGATAAAATATCGAACTTAACAGATTCCTTTAAAGAATATGTAATTATTTAATCCTCATTATATTATAATTATAGTACTTATTAATTGGATTGAAGATGATTGCATTATTGTTTGTTTATTTTATGCTTATATTGAATATGTATTATACTTTAATTTTCAGATGAGGCCTTTACATTCTGAACAAAAACGATCTCAGTGTTTCTACTATCAGACTATTCCCGATATACACAGGACTGGTAAAAAACCAACCAACATTTTTATTGTGTAAAGTAGGTATATATCATATGAATATCTTGTTTGATGTGTTCATACTTAGTCATTTTGTATTTATATTAATATTATTTTAATAGAAACTATTACATATTATTTACTAAAAGTTATTGTAAGTAAGCTCAATTTTGTTATCCGTCTAATTATTTTATACTTGTATATTGTTTTATTTTATTTTATTCCGAAAGTTCGTAGTCCTTGTAAACTGATCAGTATTAATGCTGAACCTATGTGTATATAATATGTGACTTTCAGTTAGTTAATAGTTTTTTTTAATGTAGAAATAATATTGTACATATTATTTTATATTTATGTAAATAAAACATTGTGTTTAAATTAACAAATGTGATTTTTGTTCTACTTAACAACAACAATGAATACTGAGCGAATATTGATGTTATAATAATAACTGGTGTATAATATTAAGTATTATGATATTTTATTAAAATATATTGTATTGATATTTTATCTACGGCGGTTTGTATAGGCAATTTTAATGCATTCGTGTGTAGAACCAACTCCTTGCGATACATGGCGTGGATGCACGGCGCTTTCACTTGTGCCTTCTAATATAAATTAAAAATAATAATAATAAAATATTAAAAAATAATAATTACAATAATACCAAATATTGTGATAAATGATAATGGCATTATTATAATGTACTTATTATTCTTTTGTTTTTGACTACTTCTGTTGTTATTACATTACAATATTATAGATTTGACTTTTTTTAAGTGATAAACTAAGCAGATATAATGTCAAACCATCTGAATTCAAAAGAACACTGGGTATTTTTTAGAGAAAATGATTTATACTGAATATTATGTTTTACGGTTATTGGTATTATTGAAGGTATACTTAGTAAAATTCATTATTTTTACTATTATATACAACAGTGAACAGACGTACATAATATTATTTTTAAATTGTAAACATTGTATTGTAACTCATTATAACTATTAGTTTAAAGTCAATTTTCAATAAAGAAAAAACTATCATTGTTCTATATTATTTTCACACTGAATGAAATACAAAAAGGTCATTGTAGAAAAACAATTATTAAACTGTTCTTATTATTAGAGCTTCTTTTGTGTTATAAAATGATTATATTATATCTATTAAGGACAATACTCAATCGTACAATACGTACTATAAAACATATAATTTATACAGCGTATTGATTAATTAAGGTTAATACCTACAAAGTCAGGGCCACAAAATATAGAATATGTATATTATAGAAATAAAAAAAGAGTTAAAAACTACAATGTAGCACGACGAAATAAGTTCACCGAAATATTGATTTCAATAACTACAAAATCGTCGGTGAAGAATTTAGTATACTTCCTGAAGAATAATAATGATCCTAAGGTAATAGAAACTGTAAATGAAGCTAATAATTATGTTAGTAGAGAGCTGGATAATTGAAAAAAATATCAATCAGGTCTCCTAAGAGTTTATTCAACCAAATTAAACGATCACTTAGATGGAAAGATCACGGTTCCTGCCAGTGGCACCCAGACAAGTTCACAAGTACTGTACTTCATGTACTCAAGAGGGGGGGTGGGTGTAAATCACTCGTACCACAGGAAGTTTATTAATTTTATGTACACATTATAGTCTAAAGCAATTGATTTCCGTGAACTACAGTGATTAATAAGTGAGTATAATTCAGTAAATCGAGTTTAAGTGCACACACGAGTGCAGTAAGAATATAGTTTTTAAATTAAAAAAAAATATTGGATTGGGTGGGTAATTTTTTTTTAACTGCGTGTGCTCTCAAAATACCTCTGTGTGCCACTGATTTCAGCTTAAAGTGACACATCAATAACGCACGTGAATAATGACGTGGCAGACTAAACTCTCGAACATTTCCCGAAAAAATCGAAAAGCTACACCAGTCAAGCCATTTTTCGATTTCAATTTTAGAGAGATGTCTCATTATTTTCGTCAACGATTATAATATTATATATTAAAAAGCACCCTTCCCACACAGACACACACACACACACACACACACACACACACACACAGACACAAACACACACACACAGACACACACACACACACACACACATACACACACACACTCCCGCCGTTCTTGAAATCCAAAAATGACATACAATATATATGTTTACTCGTTCCATAAGCGTTCTAGATGTCGATATCGAGAACGATTACCATTGTGAAAACGTCAAAGACTTATCACGTATTATAAGTGTTCTACTTTTTAATCACACCGTATACCTAACCGCAGTTATACGGGACGGTCCGTGGTATGTTCTTGAACATACGAAAATAAAAATCGATCGACGAATGGCGACAGCGTTACGGCCTGTAAGCAGTCTGTCTGGCACCGTTGCGGACGAACGATCGCACAATACAATAATATTATTATTATTATAGTCTTATTCTGTTCGGCACAGTGTACACAAACGACGTGACCGAGTTGTTTCCGGGCTCTAATCCTACTGGTAAGTACACGAAAATATCTAAACAGTAATGTTAAAAAACGATGATAACATTTAAAATTTAAATATCTATTATTTTATTGTCTGTGAAAAGTTCGTTATATCAGCGATTTGTAATTAATATCGTTTCGTGTGATGCTGCTTTTACAGACCTTTTAAATGCCGTTCGTTTTTCGACTAATAATATAATGTTATTATAATATTTTGCCACAGCCGATTGAGGGTCACGGTCAGGGTTATGTTCGTAGCAATATAATAGTATTATCTTTTCGCGTGTACTTCTGTTGATCACGTCATTTTAATAATAATATGTAAATATATATTTACCTATTGCAGGCGGTGTAACACTTGTACGATTAGATTGACTCACTCTTATGTACACCAAACTCGAAACATAGGTAACATTTTTTTCTCAACCGTGTTGACCTTGAATGTGTAGGCAGATTGGTCATTGCCGCCTTACCGCTGTACTGCACTAACAAAAAAGAAGTACGATATCTTATCTTAAAAGATGTTAAAATGCACAGAAATTATAAAAAATCAATTTAATTTTTACGGTTTCGTGAAATGTGAAAATTGTGTCGCTTGTGTTTCTCTATGTACTTTTTAGGCAATTTTTGTTTTCGTTGAATTTTCAAAAATATACCTGACGAATGTTTTTAAATTGTACAATAATTTGTGAACTTTTCGATTGATATTACGTCTTATCTGAAAGCGATATTTCATTTTCAATTAGTGTAATAGCTCACCAAATTCAATGGGGTCGTTCATTTTTTAAATTAATTAGTACAACTTACACGTTATACATATGTATTTTAGACTGTAAAAAAGTTTCCACAGTGTTCGTGATTTTCATTAGATAATCAAAAAAAATATGCCAGAAAATCACTGTAGCCTGTAATATGGATGACGAACAAAAAAATGTTTAATGTAATTAATTTGTTTAGCTTTTCATTCTTTTAGTTTTTTTTTTTTTACTAAAAATATTTATCATTTAAATACTTTCATAAGCATTGCTATAACTGTTTCATATTCTATACAATTATACAAAGCAATGAAGTCTAAAGTTAATACAATATTGTACACCTCAGTATAATCATTTAAAAATTAAAAGTCTGATTTCATAACTATGTATTACGATATTGATCTATACTTTTAGGTATATTATAAGATACACGTCACACTTGGCAACGAGTACTTCAAACTTAATCAATAATTATTAATAATTATATAATAATAACTACTGACCTAAGACAATTTAAAAAAAACATAAAAATATATTATTTTGGATACCTGTTTAATAAATATTATATTGTTATGCTATATCTGGTTCGGGGTTTTCACGGTCATAAAAATAATATCTTTTTAAATACTCGCATAATTTTCTCGTCGTTGTGTTGGTGTTACGAAGCATATTTCGTACAGCTGGACCTACAGCTTCGTGTATTATACGAGTATGTGTCACTGGCTTATTTCCAAGGACAGCTATAATATTCTTCTTTTTTAGAACGAAATAATATAAATGAATACTCCCCACGCACGTCCAACCTTCAAGCTTAACATATAAGTTGCATACACAGTACACACATATTATAATTGTTCATTATTGAATGCAAAATCGTTTTTCATATCGTTTTAATGGGTGTTTGAAGAATGAATAATAATACAATTTCACTTTCGATTAATGAGTGCATAATAATTTGGTATAATCCTTCGTAGGTGTCGAAAAACATTGCATTTTGATGAATCATTGGTTTTTCAATATTATAATTGATTTATTTTAATGGAGTTATACATTTTGGAACTATTATTAAATCACTATAAGATACTAAAAAACACATAACCTTTTTTTTCTTGCAATTCATTGATAAAAGTATAGGACATAAGACTCATAGTATGACGAGTAAATAGGAGTGAACCTTTGTATGCGTTGAACTCGTGTACTTAACATCTTTAGCCAAATATTGTAGTAGGTATGTTAGAACATCAGACTAGTGTTGATGACGATGATGATCCAAACATATTTCTTCTATGATGCATATTATATATTTTATATTTATCAAAGTTTACAACTACAAATATATTAATAATATTATGTAATATTGAATTATTTATATGTCGGATCTATACTTCAGATAAGATTATACAGTAATATGTTAATCGTCAATGGGAATTTCATAATTGATTTGAGCTTATATGTCTTGTTGACCTAAATATGTATTTTGATAAAAAGATAAATACCTATAATTATTTGTATGACTAATTATTGACTATTGTTGGATACCTATAGAATTTAAATACCTATTTTAACGTTTTAAAGAAATACAGATGACTAACTTGTAAGCATAGGTAATACATCGCATATTTTAATTAATATTTACGAAGTTGTTATAAAAAGATAAACCGTATAAAAATGGTTTTAGAATGTTTAAAAATGGAGAAATGAGGCGATTAACATTCACTACCGCCATATTTTTTTTGACATATTCACCAGAAACACTTGGTTTTAACATTTGATTCCATGCAGAATAAATAAAATGTTGATGATTAATATTACCTGTAGGTTAAAAATTCTAACATTTTTAAAATGTATTGGTATGTCACATGACGTGTTTACTAGTCCCAAAGATTATTTTACTTTCATATACATAAATAAGTAGGATAAATATTTGTATAAATTCTGTAGTACATGCCGCAGTCAACAGTTGAGAATATAATCTGAATATTTCAAGATATTATTTTATTTGTGTACTTATGACATTTATGTTGTTCATTAGTTCATAACACATTTCAATTTTCATTAAACTTCTTTGAACTGATCAAACGCACTCTTTAACTCTAAAATTATCTAAAAAATGTGTGTAAATATATTTTTAGATAAGTAGGTAATAGTGAACACCTGACAAAAATAACAACTCATAGGGAACCATGTATAACATGTTTGAGCTTTTCGACCGAGTGAAAAATGTTTTATTGATATTTATAGAAATTATATAAATCGATAAATTTCATACTAATAATAATATGCTACTCGATATTTTTCATATACCTAAACGAAAATCGAGGAATCATAGATAATATTATAATGTTTCTATTGTTGATTTGCGTCTCTATGGCGATAAAAATTGGTTACGGTCAGAAAAAAAAATTGTATCCCGCCCAAAAACTGTGTCTACGTTAAACGACTTTCATGGATAAAATATAGTGATAAATTCTTTATTTTACCCTAAAGATATTTTCACCTAAAACTAATAATAAGTTACGTTTCTCTTGCGTGTCACGTTTGTGTTTCAAACTAATAAATAACAATGCGACAAACGTATTATAATGAATATATATATTATGACACTCGAAGAACACGACTCATCATTATGCGGCAAGTATATTGGCGGTGCGATATAATCTGAATATATCATTGTTGTGTTTGATTTTATTAGAGTTTCGAAAAACTGCACAAAAAAATACCTAATTCGTCGTTTAAATTAAACACTATTGTTGTTATCCGGGACATGCGAGCATTTTTTGAATTCCTATCAACTAAACGCACAATAACTCGTCCACAAACGAGCCCTCTGAATACAATAAACGCACACCGAACGAATCAATTAAAAATAAATTTGTGATTTAGGAACGCTCCTCTCAAATTGAAAAATAACCGCACGTATAACATGTACACGCCATATTATTATAACTATATGCACACAGAACCTTCGTATGGCAGATAGCGCGTATTATTATTATTATTATTATTGTAACTATTTCACGTCGGGAATGTGAGAGGGGAGGCGGCGCAATCGCCTGTGGCGAAATATCATCACGCTTATTTTTTTTTCTCTGTCGCTGCGATGACTCACGCTGAATTTTACGCCGACAGACGGCAAACATTATAATGCGCTCTCTCAGTTTGTGCCGGCCAGTCAACGGGTTAACTTTACGATAATTTAATATATCATATTATTATTATGTAGGTACCCCACGTATATCAAACCCATACAGTGTTATAGATTTTTATAGTCTTTATAATTAATTTTGTTTTTGTTTTGTTTTTAGAACTCCGTCGACCACTCCACATCACCCTATATCACCATGACTTACTACACAACTAGGGTGAGTTATCGAGTTATTATTGCCCGTATCACAACCACAGACGTATAATAAAATCTCTGCACCGAAAAAAAATTGCAAAGACAATATATAATCAGGAGCTCTACTCCGGACCTCACATAATATTTACATTCTTGATTTTGTAACGGTATTTTACTACTGCAGAAACCTCTGTTGAGCTTGGGATCCAAAAATATTCCCAGTCGCGATTGAGTTTGCGAATGAACTTTACTAACATTGTTATTTAACTTTTTTGTTTGTTTTCCTTGAGCAGTGCACTCCCACGGTCCGTCCGGCAGCTGATTTCGATGCCGAAGCCGACGCCGCAGTACTTAGGACTGCCATGAAGGGATTCGGTACTGACGAGCAAGCCATCATCGACGTGTTGGCCAGACGGTCCAACACTCAGAGACAGGAGATCAAAGAAGCTTTCAAGACACTCTATGGAAAGGTATAGTAAAAAAGATTATAATATACTGAAGACATAATAACATGGATACCCTCCCTTTCTCTCTATCTACATGATATATATATATATATTATAACGAGAATGCAACAAAGAGAGAGTGTCGAGATGCTGCGTGGTTTACTCATTTTTGGAGAAAGTCTGAGACTTCTCGTAAAATTACGTTTACTTATATTTATCATCATTCATCGTACGATGTTGAGCATTATGATACTATCATGTGGGCCATCCAAAAATAAATATTTCGGACCCTGATGGTTTTGCGTGCACAGGCACAGTTTTTACGATCGATCGGATATAGCTATAACAGCGGTTGGTTTGACCTTAGAGATTTAACAAAAAAAAAAAGAACACATAATAAACACTATACCATTATACTGTTAATAATAATATATAACTCGGTACACACAATGAACGATGATAATTATTACTTGTTTTAATAGAAGCACACTATAGCAGCCGAGGTGCCTATAGCACTTCAGCTTATTAATACTTATATTGGTTTGTTGCGTGTTTTGCGATAATGGGAGTCGTCGGTTACTGGGTTGACTTTCGTTTAATGTAGGAGTGCACGGCCTAAAATAATAAATGAACCTAGGTATACTCACCTACATTATCTCTCTCTCTCTCTCTATATATACATATAGATGTATTACGTTTATGTTTTATGCTATACCGTGTAAAGTTATAATCGTACAGTATATAGAATACTGTATGATATTGTTATACTTCAATATTTGTGTACACTTTTAAGAGGATGGATAAAAAATGAATTTGATCAAATCACCAAATTCCAATGTTTGCATTTCAAATATTTTATTATTCATAGTTTATCGAAGATAACGCATTTAATATTGTATTATCGTGTAGGTACTTTTATATTCTGACGTGTACCACTCTTTTGTTTGACGATAATATTTGTTGCTATACCTATTGTCGTTTTATTGGTTTATCGCCATCATGTCCCTACCTACACAATAAATATTTTTAGGTACGCGAGAAATCGGTTGCAGTGGGATATCGGTATTACCTATAGCGACATTTTAAATAACAGTATTGCCTTCCGTGATAGTTAATGTTTGAATTGGTGTGATGGGAGAGGGGCAGGGTGGCGGAGTTCCTCTTCTTCTTTTTAAACATATTTTAGCATACACCTTTTATTTATATTCCAATCAATAAGATATTTAAATCGTCAGGTACGCACACTATTTTAAACTTAAGCGTTTAGATAATATGATATTCTTTTTCACTTTTATTAGTAAAAATGTATAGATTACATAACACATTTTGATCACATACTACGTATACCAACTATATTAACAATAATATGTGCATAAGCATGTGTTATATTTTCTTTTTGAATCTGAATTACAAATGGAGCTAAATATATTTTAGTTATTATTTTTCTGATAATGGAAACCATTGATTCAATGGGTTTACTATTGAAAACGATAATTAACAAAACATTTGATTGCTCTATATTTTATAATATATTAGTGTCCCGTAAACAAATTACAAACTAAATAGTGACTAATTTACCTTAATTTTATTGACAACATTCAATTTGATACAGTTCTGGCTCAATAACTACTATATTAGGGACTTATTATTTTCGATGTTGAAACAGTGATATATCTTGATACATCTAGTTGATGTATTTGGTTATTAAATAAACTCATCAGATATAATACTTCCTTTATTTATTTTTTTAATTAACACATGATATATATTATTCGATACTTTCAATTTAAAAAAATATTTTATTGCAATATAGTATCAGATAAACATAATATAATTTATAATTAGTGATTTATATTTTATTGTTATTTAACGTGGTACACATTTTATGCAAAACAATTGTATAAGATATAATTGAGAATGCTGTCTATAATTAAAACAGCATAGTACAGTTATATTTTTGATTGATAATATGTACATTTATACAAATACTATATGGTGATTATATAGCATTATTAATATTGAACTTAAGTTAAAGTCCGTTTAATCAGAAGTTCGGATAACTGTTACAATTATATTACTCATTAATGAATCACTAGTATTAAGTTAAAATTATCCTAAATTAAACAATTAATGATCAAACCAATATTATTATTTTTGTTACACGCGTTATAGACTTTGAAGTTGAAATTATAATATTGTAAATATATGATGACCATACTGCAGCACATTATGGATAAAAGAAAATAATATTTTAATTTTAATTTATTTTTCATCAAATATTCGTTAAGTAGATAATATCTTAGATTGAAATGCGTTGGCATATTGTAATATATATTATGTCATAATTAAATAGTTTACAAAGAAAGATAAACGCTTATTTTCCAACAAAATTAGGTATATTGCATTTTTAATTAAATTTTTTTTAGAGTACCTACCTATTTTGTATTCAGTATAATATTATCTACGCTATGGTATAGCATACAATAATTTCTATTGTTTTTCGCAATGATGAGGATTATTTTTACCACATAATATAGTCTCAACCCGTTCGTTCAAGAACGCATCGTACATAATGCATCATTTATATATAATATATTATAGTATAATAATATCTCCGTGTACAATATCGTAACTGTGTCAAGGGAAAGTGTTTAAAAAATAATTATTATGTACGTGTATGCTTTTTGTCTGTGCAGGATTTAATTGACGATCTGAAGAGCGAACTCGGTGGGAACTTCGAGAACGCCATTGTCGCTCTGATGACCCCGCTTCCGGAGTTTTACGCCAAGGAGTTGAAAGACGCCATCAGTGGCGTGGGCACGGACGAAGAAGCCATTGCCGAAATTTTGGGCACACTCAGCAATTTTGGTGTCAGGACCATATCCTCTGTCTACGAAAAACGTAATAATAATAATATATTATAACAGTGGACCTATATACTCATATCGAGCCGATGATCAGTATAATATAATACAGTCCGAACGCACAGCATTTCGTATTTATTCATATCGTTTTACAGAATACGGAAACTCGTTGGAAGATGATTTGAAATCCGATACTTCTGGATCTTTCCAGAGATTGTTGGTGTCTCTGTGCTGTGTAAGTAAAAATCTTAACAATATGTATATACCCAGGTGTATTAGACATCGATAAAAACCATTTTTGTAAAACCAACTAAATAATAACGTTCGATATAATGTTATCTTCAGTGCACACAATGCAACAGACTGATGTCTACAATATAATATCAATATTACGTCTATTCAGTGTTCATTTTAATATAACGCTTCAGTGTAGACTACCATTTTATAAATTGTTTTGAAAAAAATGTGTGATGGTGGGATCAAATTTATACCGAAAACTATAAATTAGTATTCGAGTGTACAAATAAATTAGGCCCTAATTTTTAGAGTATAAAATTCGACGCAATTTCATAATTAACTTAACATTTGATAACCGATATACACAGTGTAACTGGATAGTGACAGAATTTATAAAAGTTCCGGTTAAATTGGTATTTTACATAAAGCCTTATAGGTATCTGACCGGTTTGATTTGGTTAGAGACACAGAGTACCTATGAAGTTCTTAGATGGCTATGAATTTCATATAATATCACCTTTTGTAATTTTTTATATCTAACCTATTATACCGAGTATTACCATTGAATACATCTTGTACAATATTATACTCCATGGTATTACCATTCGACAATCAAACATAATATCGTCTGTATAGTTATACCGTTATACGGATATATGCAAAACGATTGGACATTATGGCAACGAATATATTATTTATATATTGGTGTTAAGAGCTATACTGCACAATTCTAATGTGGTTTGGTCAACTGGAAAGGATAGCAATATCGATCAGTGATCATGGCATCATGGGTAACGTCTTGATAGATAGTCAATACATGTGTATTTGATGATTACGTGTAAAACAACGATAGAGATATTTTATAATTTTCACCATAGTATGATATTCGCTCTTCGAATGATAATGTGGTCACAATATTATATTATGCGATCATTAAAATGTTACGTTTCAGGCCAATCGCGATGAAGACGTGGAAGTCGATCGCAGCGCTGCGGTTGCGGACGCTCAGGCTCTTATCGACGCGGGTATGTAATCCTATTTTCGATCTTTTAAAATTACTAATAATAATGAAAGCAAAATGAATGAATGATTGGAATCGATAAAGCGTCAGTGACCCGGTGACGATCTTACCAATTATTATTTATTAATATTACTATACTATGTAGATGTTAAATAATATATTTACTTATATTTATGAACATACTGGATTAATATATATAGGAATATACTTGGGACTATACTAAAACGAATGATAAAACTCACTAGGTGTGTACAAACAAGTTAAATACAAAGTCGCTCAAATGGCCCATGCTTTAGGCACTCACCAAATTTTAGGTCATCCGCCCAAATTAATGACACTCTACCAAGTACATTGCTTGTTAGTATGGGTTATACGAATTAATTACTATACATGTGATTATCATCTTTAACATAATTTATAACTTATAAGTATATGTTTGTACACAGTATATAATTGATGATCTACCGTTGCATGTACATAAGTAAATAGTAACCTAAATAAAAAAAACATATGTACAACCCTGTATATGTGTGTTAAATAATCATCGTGTGTACTTAGCTGTAAGTTTGTGTACAATAAATCAACATATCGTTTATATTTTTCAGGCGAAGCTCATTGGGGCACGGACGAGTCGACCTTCAATTCTATTCTGGCCACTCGTTCCTATCCACAGCTGAGAGCCATTTTCGAAGAGTACGAGAACCTCACTGGCAAGGATATCGTAGAGACCATCAAGAACGAAACTTCCGGCGCTCTGGAACACGGTTTTTTGACCATCGGTGAGTGTTTCCTCTCCCCCCTCTCGAATAAGCCACTACAATAAGAAATATAACTATAAGTATTTATAAATATACACACATGATAACCATTATGTCGGTATCTGGTCACTTCGAAGTTTTCTCAGTCTTATATAACTTGAATACGTATCCGTTATTTTAACGGCGAATTAAAATGTTGTCACAAAAAATGAACACGATATGATTATATTATGTACAGTGAAAAGTGCCAAGAAGAAGAGCGACTACTACGCCGACCAGCTGGAAGCCTCAATGGCGGGCTTCGGCACCAGCGACCGTCAGTTGATCAGAATCATCGTTGGCAGATCTGAAATCGATTTGGGAGACATCAAACAGTCCTACGAGACCATTTACGGTACTCCGTTGGCCGACAGAATCGCCGTAAGTCACCATAGTATAATATACGATAATGTAATAAAATAAATAATATCATTATACAATATGACATATCATATATTATTGTACACACGTATACATATAGGTATGTGTTCTAATCATGAACTAAGATATACCTCAATGGCTCAATGTACCTTAATTCGTGGTTACAGTTTATACCATATTCGCATATACTATATACACGCTCTTATAAAATATAGCTAACAAACGGTGCCTAGGGTACGCCTGGTGATAATATATAATATTATATTGTAAATTTTCATTTATAATAATATTATATTATAAACTATAATTTATCATATATTTTATTATGCACTTGCTATTTCTGTAAAACGTTACAATATTCACAAGTATATAAGTAGCTCGGCACGACGTCTCGATCGGCCACTGCAGTTGTCTATTATTAAAACGCACGAATTATTACGGACGTCCGTAACTGTACATGACCGACTATAATACGATTTTGTTTTAGTCGTGACATAATATTATTACCTGTTGATTATTGTATTTCATTGTTCATGGGATCACATCGTATCATAGGATAACGACCTTTTTTTTGTGTTGAACGTGTCAATAACGAAATGATGATATTATTCTATACAATTTGTAAGTGCATGTTCTGAGGTTTAGATATTAACTTGAAATCCACTAGAATCTGTTCACGTTTGACGGAGAGGGACAACGGATAATAATTTCCCCTAACGCCAATATCATAATATTTAATACGTTTATACACGTCTTTGGAAAGACAATTCAGTGGGAATATAATTTTTATTTGACAAAATGTCACTATTCGTGTAATGCAGTGCGCAGTTCAGTAATCGATTCGTACGCATAATTCAATAAAATATATATTTTGACATTTTGTCGGTAATCTAAATAGAAAGGCTACCCCATTACGTTCGGTTTAAAAGACAATAATATGTTTTTACATTTTACCTGTTAAAATCATTTTTACCATTGAACAACCTCAACACACATCAATGTAGTATAATTTAAGCGAATAACAAGCGACAGAGCTCTATAATATGTGTATATAACATGATAGAGCAGAGCTATTCAATTTTGTAATTATCCATAACTGTAGTGTCAGTTACACCGCTAGCATTGGCGTCCCAATTAGCGAACGAATAAACCAAAAACGGTGTTAACTAACCGGTAACCACCTGTATATAGGATGCGTTTCAACACAGAGAAACTACAAATACCGACGGTTTTTTTTTAGATCGAGTTTTTATAGGTATATTACACAATACCTATTATACACCATGACAGTGAAATTCCGTTTTGTTGGTTTAAATCGTATTAAATGTTTAAATAGACAACTGCAGTGCGCCATCATGATATTTCCAAGTTTATGAAGACAGGACTCGCATAACATATGTTAGGCATAATATTAAAATATAGACATCACGTAGGCATAATATAATAATATGACATACCTACACCCGATCTATAACATCGCGCATAACCCATTTCCCGTGATTGTAATGAATCTTTAACTAACATAATATAGTATACAAATTGTATTATTTTTATCATTGTGCAACAATATTTATGTACATGATATATTTTTATTTATTGTTACGAGTATAATTTGATGAACGCAAACGCACGCGATCGGATACCTATAGTTGTTTTACATTGTTCAAAGGGGGTGTGGCGGCAAATTACAGTCATGTACCAATACATTGTTGCGCAACAATATAATAATATGATATTGTATATATAAATGCAATACCAATATTTGTGCTGTATCGTGCATCGGCTAATGAGGTTTTGTTTTAGGGCGACACCTCTGGGGATTACAAGCGTCTGTTATTGGCTCTCGTGCTCTAATAAAGCTTAGAAATGCATGAGGAAAGGCACTTCAGTTCTTGCTTTATACCTGTACCGACTTTTAATTTCATGTAAATAATAAACTATTTAAACTATCAGTTTTTTTTTATCATTATTTTTATTATTATTTATACTGAAAATAATATTATATTTGTTTTATTTGCAATAGTATTTATTTATTTTTGTTTTTTTTTATTAAAGTCTATGAACGCACAAATTAGATATTGTGGCCTATAATAATATATACTTTTATATTTGTGTTTATTTAATGTATTAGTTCTCAAAAACACTTGTAACCGATATTGTGAAAAACACAGAAACACAAACACAAACATAATAGCGCGCAACACTATTCCTTTATTATAATACTCATTATATTATTAGTCAATAATAGTCGTCTTCGACTATAGGTGAGTTCATGCACAATCAAAGGTTTTTCTTTAAAAAAGACTTTTCGTGCAGGATATTACGGGATAAAAGAAAAAAACTAAAATTTTTTTTTCATTTTTCAAATTTTAATGTCTTAAGAGTTGCCTATACGAACCCCTCAAAAATCCTGCACGCCGAGGACCTCCATTATACTCGTTTTATTTTTTTGATGGAACAAAATATATGGACCAATAATACAATAAACGGTGAGTTCACGGCACGGAAAATTCTCAGTTTGGAGCTGAGATTTGAATACTTTAATTTGGTGGAGAAATATTCATTAAAATTTGGTCGATCTAATTTTTATGTTTTCATTCCACATCGAAATCGTATTGGTAAATTGTGTTTTGTTACATCTTACCTAATGGCAAATACAATGTCATATATACACTAATGTATTCTAATATAATATGGTACACAACCTGCAAACCAGATGGTAACAATAATACCTAATAACACGGGAAGTTTCTAACATCACTAATATTATTCCTTTATTGTATGGGTGAGAAAAGTTGATACAATCACGTACTGTAATAATAGTTATTTGTACCTGTCATCGCCGGAATAAAATAAAATAGGTATTGTGGGCAATGATAACCAATGTATAAGTGTATTTAACCGTATAAGAAGACCATGTTAACATTGAACAAAAATGTCGGTTTTTTCGTACTTATATAATTTATCTGTTCCCAGAGCGATTGTGGTTCAGATTACAAAAATTTGCTTATCACACTTGTGTCGCAATAATGCTTTTAAAAGGGCTCTTTCATTGCACCGTCGCTGTGGACGCGCACAGATTACTCTACTGACTATAGTACTACTACAACAACAACTGCAACTACTACTATATACTACGTCCTGAAGTAGATATTTCACCAAATGTGTCTTAAATTGTGTTTCAATACACATACGCAATGTAATAGATAACAGTATTTTTTTTTTAAATTTATATTAATAATAAATGTCTATTGTTAAAGTTTCGCATACAGTTGTTATTAAAAATTTGATTTGACCGCAGAGAGAGGGAATATATTCACTTGTAGGATTCTATAAACTTTACGATATATTATGCTTTATATTTTATATAAATGTACTAACATATATTATAATATACAGTTATATCGTTACAAGTGCATTATTATTCAGAAATATTTTCCTAATTATTATTATTATATGAATTTTATTAATATGTATAACATTATCTTTAAATAAACTATTTTTTTCTTGCGTTAACTAGTATCGGCTTGTTTATTTTTATTTTTGTATATTATAAGTATGCAGGGTGATATTACCTTCAACCCGAGTAAATTGTTGCACGTTAAGAACTATCAATTCACATTATATTTTATTATGTAATATTCTTACGGGTGGTACGAGGTGCACATTCTTACATGTATGAAAAACGCTAATAAAATTAGGCATATTTATTTTGATAACTGCGTACCTAGATGGCTAAACAACTTTATAGATTAGATTGGATAATTAAGTTGTTTTCAAATCAGATGCAGCATACGACGCGACGGAGAGAAATGATAACATTTTGATGTAAAGGGTGCCCAAACGTTCACCACCCAGTCAAACTCCATCATAAGTTATAACATTCTATTAGTAATTATTATTCATAGTATGCAATGCTATAGACTGCTGGAATTGAATGCGGGGGGGGGGCACTATGGTAAAATTACATTGAGTTAATATTAATTTAATTTTTTTTATTTCGCTTCAATATTGCGAATGCATATACATAATAAGTAGGACATAATGAAGAATCCATGGTTTTTACGAGAATCTATTAAAGGTTATTAATGAAACAGAAAAATAAAATTAGGATAAAAGATAATGTTATTATAACGTAACATAATCAATCGTTAATCGTTAATCGTAAACAGCAATTTTTTTTTTTAGGGCGATTGCGGAGCAGAATGTAAAAGTCTTTTGAGGACCATCGTTGATCAATAATGATAATTATTTATATATGTACCTAATATTTTATTACAAAATATAACGATTCCTTAATATTATGGCATATTATATACCTAATTAGTAATTAGTAATTATGTTATTCAATGCAAATGCTTTTTATAATCTTTTATACTCTTTAGCTATGATGCGTATTATTATACCTATTGTTTTTATCAGTTTACTCATTATGTTTATATCTATATTTTTTTATACTATTTTATTTTTGAACAATTTATTGCTAGTATGAGGACAATGCACACTATAGTTAATTGGCCCACCAACATTATGTTATAATTTTATTTATATGTTAATTATTTATTAAGTAGTTATTAAACATTTATATTAAAAAAATATGATTTATTGGCAATACAAATTATTAGTAACTTCTAAACTACTACTACGAATGTAAAACTTTTTTTTTTATATACCTATTTGAATATTATAAATCGTTTATGAGCATATATATGCAAAATTGATTTCGTTACAGATTATTTAATGGTCCCTCTTATTTTTAAGAGTTTTTAATAGTATGAAAAAACACCTTTAATGTGAAAAACTATATCAGGCATATTACCAGCGATTATTCGTCCCATGAACATATGCAATTGACTATCCACCTGTCCTATCTGAGGTCAAAAAAAGGTAATATTTTAAACACAGTTAATTGAGTTGTTTTGGCCAAGTATAAAATAGGCCTAAATTATATACAATCATAATAACTAGGTAGGTTAAGTATTTTATTTTCTGTAATCAATGGCAACAATAGGTATATAAATAAAAATAAAACAATGATACTTTTCGTGAGTGAACAAATCCTTTTATAATGGAAAATTAAAAAAATTTACTTCGAGGTGCACATTCTCATCCCTCAGGTATGGCATTACCAGATTTCAGAACCTACAGTGTGGTAGATTTGACTGTAAATCGATCATCAGTCATTAAACACACACACATACACACGGTGGAGCGCGGTTTTTGAATGAGTATAGGTAGTGGTACATACTAACTTATCCCCCCCCCCCCCAATAATTACTCTCATTACTTTCTAAAATAAAGTAATAATATTAAGGCAAATTAAAATATTTTACACTACAAAAAAGAAACAGTATTTGATACTGATTATTTTTAATCTGGGCATATTTCAACTTACCTATATGTTTGGACCAAAATCTCTGAAAGTTACCTACCGGGAGATGAATAACTCGAAAAAAATGGAATCAATATTTGGGAAAAATTTGTAAAGTAATATCAGGTATTTTTTTGGTCTACCATATGCATACTATATATACTTTGAAATGATCATTATAGTTTACAGCAGGAATTCTCAAACTGTGGTAAGCGTACCCCTTGTGGGAACTCGAAATATTTTAAGGGGTACGAGTCTGGCCAACAAACCAACAAGGAAAAAATTCTTTAAAAGTCTCTAATTTTTTTTTATATATTTTAGTTTAGTAACTAAGAAGTGTATACCCCACTCAACAAAATGTATTTACAAAAAAGGGTACAGTGTTTGTGTAAAGTTTGAGAATACCTGATTTACAGGATTCAATTGTTTCTCAAAGCACCTCTTTAAAATAATATTATTATTAATATATTTTAAATTTCCGCGACTTTAACTATAAAAGTTAGCTTTATTCATATTGTACTAAAAACAGTGTTTGAATTAGTGTCTATTGTTGGTAATTTTTTAGTGCAATGCATACGTTTTTCGAGAGGGTTCGATCTGTATGGCATGGAGCACATCTTATACTTAACGAAGGTTTATATTTTTTAGTTACCTATACGCTATTAGTAAATAGGGGAATGCAAAACGGTCTTTAACACACAGAGTTCAAATTTAGCACCTCTTGTTTCATTAGGCTTAAATCTAACTATTATTATTATTATAGTAAAATACAATAAATTTAATGTTTTTAAATTATAAAATATTTACCGAAATTTGTTTTTTTAAACTTCAGTCATACATATATGTCATAATATTAATTTATCATAAATTATATTGATCCACAACTGTGCATTACTGGTAAATCCTCATAAAAGTTTTATATGAATTATTAAAGTTTTATCTTACAAATCTTGATCGATTATTATTTATTTAATATACATTATATTGAGTACCAAATTACTAGTACTGCAGCCAACAGATGAGTACTAAATTATATGAGGTAAACATATTTTGTTTTTAACATTAATATGAAATATGTTAAAATGTTAACAAAAAGTTTTCAAGTATCAATTATTGGATGAAAAAATCTTTATTAAAATTGGTTATACATAAATACATAATAATATAATTTTAGTACCTAGTAAAGATGCAGCTACGGAATCTCCTTATCTACCGCAACATCTCTTTATCGGTCATAACATCTTCTGTCGGCCGCGACATCTCTTTATCGGCCGCGACATCTCTTTATCGGCCACGGCATCTCCTTATCGGCCGCGGCATCTTCTGTCGGCCACGGCATCTCCTGTCGGCCACGGCATTTCTTTATCGGCCACGGCATCTCTTTATCGGCCGC